AAACTTATAATCAATTTTTCCGACCATTTCTGCGGAGTGTGTATCGCATCGACCGATATATGTGTCGGTGTTTGGCTGTCCCTTATTGCCGACCACCAGCGCCCCCACTGGGATGGGGTCCTCGCCAGTACCTCAAACTCCTGGCCCTCCTTTACGGACACCACTTTCCTCCCAAATTCAAGGCATATCCGGCGTTTTTGTCGGCTTTTCCGGCGACTAACCCCTCCTTAACCTGATATCTGTAGACATTTAGCGGTCTTTTGTCGCATATCATAACTATTCATCATTTAAAACAGTCATCTCCAGACCTGTTGTATAAAATGTTTGATAAGTAATATTTTATAATTAATTCAATTAAACTCAATAATTAATTTTTAAAACATTTGAATTAATTATCTTTAGAAATATATTAAAGTATTACAACTGTAAAGATATTCTAAAATTTAAATATATTTAAATTAATTTACTATTATTGGCACAATGATTGCCATCAACTGATCATTTTACTTTGTACTTATAAATTAATGTATTATTTAAGTAATAATTTATTATCAAAAATGAATTCAATTAAAGTCAATAAATAATTTCAAAAACATAATACAAATTAATTATCGTTTTAAATAATATTAATACATTGTAACTGTAAAGATTTGTGGAAAGTTTAATAGTTTAATAATTAATAATTATAATTTTTGAACTTGTTCAATTGGTATGCTATTTTTTATTTACTTATTTATACGAAATAGTAATTTTATGGTTTTAAATAATTAGTAAATTTTTGATATCGTGAATGTGTTATCATTTAACATTATAACCATGGTATAAATAATCTGAATTAAAACAATAAACAATACACACTTTAAACACTTTTCTGTTTATCTAAAAAAAAGTGGTGATCCCGAGGCCCGGTAGCTGTGCATACAAATGTAAAATTAAAATATAAAAATGAGAAAAAACTGTAAAATTATATAATATTTTAAACATTTTTTATCATTTATTATAAGATATAAAAAGTGGTCTATAATTGCATCAACATTTTAAATCTATTATTCATTTTATTTACATTTTATTATAATATTTATTAGCATTTTAGTATCAAAACACAATTATGTTTTTGAAATTATTTAAAGATTAACATTTTAAATTCTTTGATAAGTTTAAAAGTTTAAATTTAAATTATTAAATAAAACAATATTTCATATCGTATTTAGTTTAAAATACTTTTAATAATTTTAAATTTACTTTAAACTTATAATTGGTAACTTGCATTTAAAACTACAAAACAACCTGTGCTTAAATTATATAAAAATGGTCTAGTATAGAACAGACAAATTAATTTTATTTACCTGCTTAAAAATTTAAGCATCGTAATTTAATTTCAAATGATAATGAACCGAGATAATCGAAAATGTTTACTTTTATTTTTTATATACCAGTAGTTTTGAATTGTAATTTAAAATATTACATTAATATTATGGTACATAGCTTTTAAATTAGATAATTTTTGGAAGTCTCGGATAATTATTATTTTAACTTAATGTGATTAAATGTAGTTTAGGTAAATGGACCAAGCAACAAATTAATTTTATAAAATAATAATCATATACAAGGATATTATGCATAATAATAACACTTTCACAATTTATCATCGTAATTTAAATGATTAAATGGTGATAAAATGTTTACCACCTTGATGAAAGTGTTGATCAATGGTGAGAATATACGTTATAGTGTTTGTTCCTCACCTCCCCGTCCATTACCGTCAACACCCCTCTCGTCTATTGTGAAACTACTGCCGGCGCCGGTCCTCACGATTCGTCGGTAAACCAAGACTTCAACCGTCCCTTCCAGTAGTGATGAGCCTCCCTGTGTCCGGTCGTTTAGGACAGTCATCTGTACACCTATTTTATAAATTGTTAAATTATCTTAAATTAATTATAAACATTGATAAGAAAGTAATGTATCATGTATTGTGTGAAATAAATTATTATCATAAATTAATTCAATTGAACTTCAAAATGAATTTCAAAAACATACAAATGAATTATTGTTTTAAATAATATAAATACATAAAACTGTCAAGATTTTTTGAAAGTCCAATTTATTTAAGTAATTACACTAAATAAGTAATCCTGGTCACTAAAACTCAAAATACCTTTTCCCGTTACTATAGTATATTTTACTTATCATTTACAATAATATAATATTACATTACTGACATTTACATTACATTTACAAAAGACATTACTAGCTACAATTATATTATATTTTATTATTATTAGGTGAAACAGAAAGTCCGTGGAACAATTCATTTTAATA